GTAGGTTGGGTTCCATCGGACTAGTGTACGTTGGGTTGCATCGGATTAGAATACAAGGGGTTTGCTCCATCCCCCCCTTCATCCCTCACCCTACTATGGTNCCCCCCTTCACCCCTCACCCTACTAGGGCGGGAGGGGTATGTAAGGCAGAGGGGTATGGCTGCCATACATTATTATACTACTCAATTCCCATGATAAATGCAACAATAAAATACCTTGTATATATTTATATTAAAAATAAAAAATTGAGTTATAAATTTTACATAATTATTTTATTGTTTTACGTTTTTAGCTTTGATACGAAGCTGAGAAGGTATTAATTTTTCCATGATGTGTTTTTTTTTTGTGTCTGTTACCACTATTTCTCAGCTCTCACCGAACCGATTTCTTTCAATGATACGTCAAAAGATCACAAATCGTAACTAGTCAAAGAAATTACACTCAAAAATTGACAAAATTTTCCTCGTTCCCCGTAAATGGGGGAAACCTCCAAAAAAATTACAAATTTAAAAATCGCTAATTTTCGAAATTTTTTCAATTTTTTTTACTAAAAACTGCCGTAACTTTTTCAAAAATGAACATATCAATATAATTTTTTTTTTTATAGATGCTTGATGTCATTACCTATTATTTGGTATATTTTTTTTGTAAATTTGACCTTTTTTCTGCCCACAGGGGGGGATTTAAAATGACAACTTTTTCACAAAAAATTAACTTTTTCAACTTAACTTTTGAAAATGTTCCGGAAGGTCTGACACTTTTATATATATCTTAAATTAAAGCTAATGTAATGTACTTTAATTTGAAAAAAAAAAATTTGACCTCTGGACTTGTCTTCATGGTGAAAACGGCTACCGAATGCTATTTTTGTGTGAAAATTCTCGATTTTATAATTTACATTTTTTACTTTAAAGTGCTATAACTTTTTAAAAAAAGTATGGATCAGCACAATTTTTTTATGAGAAATAATATCTTTTAATAATCCCTTTTTAATTTGGGATATTAATAAGAAAATAGCAGATCATGTAGCTTTTAGAATAATCCACCAATTTTTTAAAATTAAACACTATCTACAGATTTGCATCGAAACGTTTCTTATGATAGTGAATTTAATCACTGTCAGATAAAATCTATACTGGACCCAACTATGCAACTTCCCTAATAAGCCGCAACACCTCTGTGCTGGGTTTTTTTTTTTTTTAATTAAGTTTATTATTAAAGATTAATAATTGATCCTTAACTTAAGAATTATTCTTAAGTTATAGTAATTTTTTGTTAATAACATAAGTATATATTTTAATTACTTAATAAAATATGAACTGATATAGCTCGTAAATTTAATACACAAGAAGAAAATAAATATCAATTTTTTAAAATTAAACACTATCTAAAGATTTGCATCGAAGCGTTTATTTGATAGTGATTTTAATTACTGTCAGATATCATTATACTTGATCCAACTATGCCGTGACCCCCCTGTGCTGGGTTGGGTTTTTTTTATTAAAACTTTCACTTTAAAGGACAAAAAAAGTAGGTTCAAAATGAATACTTTTAACATATTAAAAATCAAAATCAATAATTATTTGAAAACAATTAATTTTAAAAATGATATAATATATAATTAAAAGAATTACTATTCTGGGTATAATTAAAGAAATAGAAGTTGATGTTACTTTTGTAAATATTCATCAATTTCTTAGAATTAAACACTATCTACCTCTGGACTTGTCTTCGTGGTGAAAATGGCTACCAACTGCTACTCGTGTGAAAATTCTTGATTTTATTTTTTACATTTTTAACTTTTTAATGCTATAACTTATTGAAAAATGTTTGGATCAACAAAAACATAATTTTTTTATGAGAAATAATACTGTTTAATAATCCCTTTTTCATTCGACATACTTTGTCTTAATCAAGGTATTAATAAGGAATTATCAGATCATGTAGCTTTTGGAATAATCCACCAATTTTTTTAAAATTAAACACTATCTAAATATTTGCATGGAAGCGTTTTTTATTTATTGTGCTTTTAATCACTGTCAGATATCATTATACTTGATCCAACTATGCCACGTCACCACTGGGCCGCGACCCCCATGTGCTGGATTTTTTTCTTCTTTTTTTTTAAGATGTTAATTATATTAAAGAACTAACACGTAATATTATGGACCAAATTGATATATTTAGTACATTTTTCAAAATCGAAGTATTTAGATCAAGTTAAATAAATATTTCATAATTTTAATCGATTTGAATAATCCAGCTGAATACTTAAATACTGTATATTTTATTTTTGAAATTTCTCGAACAATGAAATATCTATTAATGTTCTTAAATAAATAATTATTGCTATTCTAGAATGAAAACCAAGTGTTTTTCTTGAAAAATTGTTTGTGTGTATTAAATAAAATTTTACATTAACGATTACTATTACTTAGTACTGTTATACTACTTCTAATAAAGTTATTTTATAAGTTTATTAGCAATAAAATTTTCATTACAATTTTTTGATAAATTTTCTCGTAAAAATGTTATTCCGATTATTTATTTTCAATTTTTATAGTTTTTGGATTATAAATCAAGGTTTGATGGTTTACAGTGTCCCAAAATCAGATCTATATTTAAAATATGTTATCGATGTATTCAATCATATTCGTATACAAGATGGATGGGATTTAGAGGAAGTGTGTGAAATCAAGATCGGTGAAAATTCACATAAAGTTTCTTTTAATGACATTTTAACAAAAGCAGTGGATAAAAGCAATTTTTCTGAAAAAATACCATTGATAAACAACTTAATCAATCTTAAGTACACTGAAATTTTGAAAGTATTCAATATTATTTTGGACCGTTTTATACAAAAATGTAACAATTACAAAAATGACGAACGATATGAAGTATTTATTAATTGCTCTCTATCTTTACAGTATGCATTAGAGTATTCAAAAGACATGCTTTCAAAATTATCATGTGCTACTGAATTCTTAAGTAATATTAATGAAAAACTCACTGTAGATTATGGATTAGAATTAAATAGTATTGATAAACAATTTCAGATAATAATTCAACAATCATCAACAATATTAATTCATAAATATAATGCAGTATATGTTGCTCTTAATGATATGGAAATTTTTCAGATCTTTTGTAACACAATAAAAAACAAAATAATAGAACTTGACATGATAAATGAAAAATGGTGTTGTTTTAATAACAACTCTGTTCTAGCTACTTTATTTACGCTGTATGGTGTACAATATGACAAAAACCCTGCTACTGACCGTGTTGAAAAAACTTTTAACAATTTAAAAACGTTATATAAAATAACAATTCAAAACGACTTTCATAATTTGGGCTTTACAGAACTAATCTATTCTACAGCAAACGGGTAAGGTTTTATGATACAAATTACATTTTGTCAATTTTTCAGCAAAACATAAAAAAAAGTAATTTCTTTGAATCGATACGCAGATTTAAAATTAAGTATGGCTATTTTACCATTCATTTTTTAAATGCTTTATGTTAAATAACTTTTGTTTTTGTGCAAACTTAAGTTAGGGCTTAAACTTTTGTAACTCTAATAAAATATGGAAGGGGACAACAACAAAAATCAGCCGTTATACATCGATGTTAAGCTTTTTAACTGCTCCTCAGATTGTTAATTTGATGAGAGCCTCAGCTTACTTAGTCAGGATGACACTACGTTATCAGGTACTAGAAGTTACAGGTATATTTTTAACAGAGTTTTTGAAGCATACACAACAGTTAGGGCTATATTCTACTTTAGTGCTTTCATACGTATTAACCTCAATTCAACAGACTTATCCATAATACAATTATTTTTTTTATGGTTTTTTTATACGTTTTATGTTGGATTTAACTCATTTTGAAAAAATTACACTTACTTTTTTCATATGCTAGACTATTGATATTTTTTATGAAAATATTTGCATTATTTTTATACATACTTACGTATTTATATTTTAATTTTACTTCATTAACTATTGTACTAGTGTTTTAATTTTAAAAATAATGATAATTTTAAATTAAATTACAAATAATGATAGTTCATTAATAAAGAAAAATGTTTCATCATAGATACATAAAGCCACCTTTCGAAGAAGAGAATAGAAAGTAAGTTATTCCAAACCACCGCTCAAAAGAGATATAGAAGAAGGAGAATTTAAACCAAATAATTAATAAGATTGCGTATAATCGATTAAATTTTTTAACGTGATTTTTATTGTATTAATAAAAAAAATATATTGTGTTTAATATTAAAGTTATTATTTTGCACTATCTAACTTTTAATTAAAAATGAAATTTAATTGCAAAAGGTTTATACCTTTTAGTTTCGATGCGAAGCTGAGAAGGTATTGGTTTTACTATGATGTGTTTTTTTTTATTGTGTCTGTTACCACTTTTTCTCAGCTCTCACTAGACCGATTTCTTTCAATGATACGTCAAAATATCATAAATCGTCTCTAGTTTAAAAAAATTTCCTTGTTTGCAGGGGTGCATATCCTCCAAAAACTTACGATTTTTAAAAGCAGTAAATTTTGGCATTTTTTTCTTTTTTTTTTAAACTGCTTTAACTTTTTGAAAAATGAACAAATCTACATAATTTTTTAATATTGAAAAATTAGATATTTTCCTTTCATTTAATATCATTTTTTTGATAATCTAACTCTTAACCTGCTCACAAGGAGGGATTCAAAATAGCAACATTTTTACAAAAATCAACTTTTTCAACTTATCTTTTGAAAATGTTCCAGAAATACTGTGTCCTTTAAACATATATCAAATTAAAGCTTATGTTATGTTATATATATGAATTGCTTTAATAGATATTTAATCATATATTATACATCTAAATAAAAAAACAACCAATCAGGAATAATAAAGGAAATAAGTTCATTTTGCTTTTTAAATAATTCGCCAATTTCTTAAAATTTAACACTATCTACAGATTTGCATCGAAGCATTTCTTATGTTAGTGATTTTAATCACTGTCAAATATCATGTATATTTGTCCCAACTATGCACGTCCACATTGTGCCGCGACCTCACTGTGCTACCGTTTTTTATTAATTTTGTAATAACCTGATTAATGAAATTTTATTATTAATGTAAGTGAAGATGTCCAACATATTCAAGTATAAATTATACTAATATTTGTTTTGTAAACGATATATCTTGTTTTTTTTAAATTAATAAGCTTATAAGATTTCTTTTTCATTCCGTAAGTTCATCGAGTTAACTGACTATTTAGGAGCCTTGTAAACGAACATTGGTATCCATAGTATGGTATTGGTTAAATTCGGAATGAATAATTCATTAGTTCCTGTATTATTTATACGTAATTCAGAAATAGAATACTGTAATTAGTTAAGCGCGATTTTAGCAAGCGTAAGCTCGCTTAAAATTGAGCTATTATAGCTCTCTTTCAGAGAGCTGAGAAAAATAATTTTAATATGAATAAAAAATTCATTCTCCCAAGGAGAGACTTCAGTGATGAAGTCTTTAATATCTATTGATATAAATATCAATTTAATTTAAAAAAATTTTCCTATACTCAAAAAAAATTAAGAAAAAAATGCAAAAAAAGTTAATTTAACGGAGAATGTTCGAACCTTGTACTTCGAGCGTAAAATGCTTATGTATTATCGACGAGACAACCGTACATCGCGTTTGACCCTTGATATAAAGCAAACTTTAAGCAAATTAAAAATTTCGATATAATTTTGTATCGAAACAAGAAAATTCTCTTTTTTAATAACCGTATTAATTGCTTTTAACAACAAGAAAAATCTACTTGCATTAAGGAAAAAAAGCAAATCAGAAACTTAACTAAAAACTTTAAATCATAATATTTATCTTCCTATTTTACTAAAAATATTAAAAGGGCTTAAAAAGAAATAAAGAAATTACCATAAGTAAGAATTAAAACAATTGTGCAATAACATAACAAAATTTTATTACACAAAAATGAATACATCATAAAAATAAATTATTCGCTTTGGCTAATTTGTGTAATCGAATTATTATCATTTACAAAATAACTATATACAATAACAATAAATATAAAACGTATCTGTCTTGTCAAACATATTAATACATTTAAAAACAATAAATAACATTTAAATAATAATTTGATTACAGTAAAATTCTTGTTAAAGATTATTTAATAACATATTTATTTTGCAATTTGATATATTTTATATATGTTATAAAAAATATAAATTGCTACAATTAAATTTCTTAATACTTAAAATTTCAACAATTATAAATTATCTTATTATTTAACGAGTGACACAATCTTCTTCTTTGGTTTGTAGTTGATTGAAAATTATGAGTAAATAGTCATCAAGATAAGCTAAAAGAACAACGATGTAATTAATATAAGTTTTTATAATTAGAGGTGTTACCAATGGATGGCTCCCTTTTCAAAATATACATGCTTTGTCATTAATTAGTCACAAAAAAAAACTTATTGTACATATAGTTGTATAGATTGTTTTTTTTTTGTAAAATAAAAGAAAAAAAAAGTTTTTATAAAAAATATTTTTTGTAAACTTGTAAAACTTTAATAAAGAGTAAAATTTAACTAACCTCTTCTAACGATAACGGATTTCCTTTACTCATTTTTGTATCTAAACTGTGATATCTCTCTGTAATCAAATTTGATAACATTTTATTCCAAAGATAATTTTTTCATAAAAATGTTGTTACATGTTTTGACTAAAGTAGAAAATGACTCACCATGTGCTAGATGCAACCTAACCATCGCCATTATGAAACACTCTGATGTCAGTATTCTATTTTTTGCGAACCGTAAGACTAAACATTCGAGAACTTTATTACTAACTGTACTTCCGGCTTCCCAAAGTAGAGGTCTTAAATTATAGCTAGACGTTTTAGTTGGATTTATTCCTTTTTCGAATTTTTGAAAAGCAATCTACAAATAAAATAATATTTTAGTTATCATTAACTAAATTGTGAAATATGACATTACTAGCCTTCCAAAATTGTAGCATATGCATCAACACAGGTATATCTAACATATTAATTCGTCCACTGATATTGATATCTCTTAACATAATGAGACTTTTACATAGTTCTAGACTGGGTTTTTCGGCTAGGTACGCTTTCCAGTGGGTTCGCAATATTTTTTGAAGTTGCAGCACATCCAATTCCGGTGGGTATTTGATCATTAGCTTAGACAAAAGAGGCCTACCGTCAGGCTATTAAACACAAATTGATTGATTAAATAATATTCACGTTTAGCAATCGAAATCTAAATAAAAACGACTAATTCTGACCACCTTTTCTAGTGTATAATAATACTAACCAGTATAACAGTATCCTCAAGAAATTCGGATGAAATTTGTTTAAAAACCATGTTGTCATCGTTTATTTCCCTGAAAAATAAAGAATATAAACAATTCTTATTTTAGTTTACGTCATAAATGAAGAGATTCCGCGAGTAAAATCGTGGTTAGATAATATTTTGTAACAAAATTTTATAAAATATTCCGGTAGTTTATTTTTTATTATTTTAACAGAAAAGTAATTAATTAATTTTCAGTATAAGGTCCTTATTAATTAATTAATGAAACAGTTTTTTTTCAATTTATTGTTAAACTCATTATTAGTAAGCAGTTTATACATAGATAATATAAAAAAAACACGATGTTACGCCTACTAAATTTTAAAATTTTCAATATTTATCTAGCAAATATTTGGTGCATTTCAATTCCCAAACGTTATAAATATATTGGAAACTAATAAAACAATTAGTTCTGCTTTAAATTTTTTTCAATATCTATATAGTGTTTAATTAGAATTTTAACTTAACAACAATGATATTTAATATGGAATATATATTTTTATTTAAACAATACTATAGAAGGTAAATAAGTATTTTGGTCAAATATTAATACCCAAAAAACTTATTTCCATCTAAATTCAAAGCAGAAATTAGAATTTCTTTTTATCAGTAACGCAAAAAAATTATACACGAGTAAATTCTTAAAATTATTATTTTTTGTTAAAATTTTCATTAAAAAAATCCTATAACTCTAATTTGTACTTCTGTAAAAATATGAATTACTTCTTCTATCCTTTTCTTATTTAGATAGACTAACTACTTTTTATACTACAAAATAAACAAAAAAATATTCAAAATTTAAAATACTACAGAAATTTAACTACAAAACATTAAAAGATGATTTTGATCTCAATTTTTACATAAAATAAATCTTTTCTAAAAAATGGCTATTTTTATATTTTTTTTACATTTTTTCAAATTTAAAAAAAATAAATGTTTTTAATAAACTAATAAAGTATTAATTCTGCTATTTTCATAATTTTAAAGTATAACATTTAAAAAAAAAAACACAAAATATTTAGTAAATTAATCAAAACATTTTGAACCATCACTTGCCTCTTATACTATAAAAATTTATCAATTTATTAAGATATGTATTATTAAATTTTAAATTATTATACCATATATTGCTTTGTTCGTCAGTAAGTATTCTAAGGAGAAATTTTGCGTCACAATTAGGAACATTGGTCTGCGGTACGACTATATAATCACCTGGCGGCAACGTAAAAAAGGTCACTACTTCTCTTGCAATTGAATGATTTGTCACATCCAATGGTTGCTTAAAAAAATTATCATAATAATAATTAATTAAACTATTTATTCCTAAACGCTAAGTTTTTAGTACTTACTTGTTGTGTTATAAATTGAGGGGTTAGCCTAGTTGTAGAATGGGGTACTTCATAAACGGCAAATCCAATGGCAAACAAGGATCGTGCACCTTTTGCGTCAGGATCTGTCTCATATTGCTGTATAACTGATACTACTACATGACACTTATTTCCCGAGGTCCTAGGTATTCCTATATGGAACTGAGGATTCATTGCCGTTGTCTCTAGATATTCTGGACCACCACCGGCATTATAACCACTACGCCATCTCCTTCTAGCTAAAACGGCACGCCATGGTTGCTTTGAATGCAACGCCGGTTCAGTCATCCAATCATCCGGACTTATGTGAACTATGTCTAACTGCGTGAAATGTCGGGCAAAGTCTTCAAATGACATCCTATAAAGAATTATAATAATTTGACTATAATTGTATAGCTATTGAGTATGAATCTTAATAAAATAATACAATTTAATATTACTTACCAAAATTCGCCATCATTTCGAACACGTACACTCAGTAACTCTTTATCCCTACTCGACAAGCCATCCCATTCCCAGCTACGTTCGCTCCATGGTCCAGTCCACTCTCCTTCTCCCCAGGGATTCCTCAGTCTTACCAATGGCGTGTCACCGTGAGGGCCTCGAACTCGAGCTAATCCAGTAACACTGTATGCGTGTTGGGTCATTAAACCATTTCGCAGTCTCAGTTGTCTCTTATTTTCTTTCTATTAAAAATTTACAGAATAGAATTTATTTTTTAATAATTAAAATGCAAATTATAAAATATAAGACCTACTAATGTAATTGTTGAAATGAGCAATGACGACCTAGGAACAGCGCTATTCAGCACCTGATATGTTAAAAAACGATCTTGATTGGATAGACCAAAGCTTTGAACGATGCCACCAGTCAAATCTTGCAATGCTCGAGTCGTTGAGCTTCCAGGGCCACTTAGATTCTCGTAGCAACCATAAAATCTATAAGCAATTTTATAGAATAAAAATTTTAGCTGATTAATTAAAATATACGAATAACCTAAATAATCAGTTAGTTTTTTAATAAATCAAAAAATGCTTACTTGGCATAAGCTTTTTCGAGTAGAGCGACCCAAAACTCGGTGGGGTTAGTTGAGTGCATATAAATCAAACGTCCTCTGTAGGTAGGTAATTTGTCATCGATCAAGACTTCTTTCCACTCGCCAAAATACCAAAATCGAAACCTGTGTTAAATCATTAAAAACATTATTTTTTATAATTTATTTTAATAACAATTGAATAACAGTAGACTAAAAGTCTCAAGGTAGTCAAGATTAGAGTATACTTAAGTATACTAGTTGTTCTACTATTAATTCAATCACCAAATTAAAAAAAAGTATTAATTATAAATTAAATAGTAAATCTCTTTTTAGACTATGTAGTATTTTTTTGGACAAAATATTGCAATCAAGCTAATATTATCAAATTCGAGTAATTCTATACAAATTTATAATTTTAACTTAAATAATTTAATTTTGTTATTTACGCCGGTGTATCGTGGTATCCAGACACCCTATGATCAAAGAAATCATAATAGTAGAGGTAGTGTAGCGGTGAATTTGCCCACTACTCTACGTTCTAAAAGTTATCTAAACTACATTTATAAAAGTTTTTAGCTTTAATGCACACTTGAGATTTTTCGTTTTATCATAAAATGCGTCGTTTTTGTTTTGTCCATGACAATACTGAGCTCTTACTGAACAGATTTTGTTAGTCTATGCGTCAAAAAAGTACGATTTTAATCTAATTGAACCAATCAGCACCAAAAATTTAAAAAAAAATTATCATAATTTAAAAAATGTAAAAAATATCTTGAAATTACGCTATCATAAAAGAAGACATTTTCAAAAAAATGTTCAACATTTTAAAACTTCTATAGTTTTTTCAAATGTACATTAACCCTAGTGATATCTTTATAGAGGGTCAAACCATATTAAATCATTTCAAGTTATCGCGCAACCATTTTAAAGTTTTTTGAAATTTCACACATGAGTTGCCTAGTATTTAAATAAAAAAAAATTTTAGGTGAAAGTAAATTTATGACCTGTTAAAATTTTGAAATTGCAAAATACCGGTATTTCCTAAAAATATCCCTGAAACCTATATATTCATACTAAAGACTTGAAAATTTCATTACTTTTTCATTATAAGGTCTTCTAACATGTCCAATAATTAACAATAGGGTTTTTTAATTTTTAATTTATTTTTTATGTAATTTTGAGAAAGGTATTTTTTTGTAAAAAAATGACATTTTTAAAATTAAAATTAAGGCTAGTTAATGTACATAACGAATAGTTTTAACTCGCAAGTAGAGAGTAACGTATATTATCACATTAAGTTTGTCTCATTCAACATTTTCAATTTAATAAGGCGTGATTTACCATTGTTGATTTCATAAATCTTAATCTTTAGTACGCTTATATTAGTGTCAACTGTATGTTTGTTTGTTTGTAACTTTGCACGCGCCACGTGTTATTTCTCGCGTATCCATAGACGACGGCCTTGAGACTAGACTATCGTAACGCATTCACCCCACCCCACTCACCACACGCCTACAACACTATTCCTGTGTAATTGTATTTATATACACGAAAAACGATGGCTATTCAAATGGTCAATGACGATTGGCCTGGCTGAGGGCATTATCAACTGCTGATAGAAATTATCAGTGTGACCAATTTAACGGCGCTTCACACAAACAAATCCAATAAGTGTATTTAAAGAAATGCAGTTGACTTTTCAAAAAAAAAAAAAATGTTCTAGTTACTAATGGTTTATAATAAATTAAATTTCCACTAAACCTTCTTCACCTTTCCTCGCTAAAAAGTCTGGTTTTTTTAACACGCTTATATTAGTTTCACGTGTATGTTTGTTTATAACTTATAATTTTATTTTTGGTTTTCGTACCCATACACGCGTGCGTGTTATCAATTATATATATATATATATGTAAACAAATTTTTATTATATATTATTAGATGTAAACATTTAACGATTCAATTTTTTTTGAATTAACATACATGTATAATATATAAAGGATTACAAATACAAGTAATTAATTTTTTATAACGATATTTGCAGGTATATAGCCTTTATTATCAATGGTAGTAAGACACATTCTTGTGAGTATACAGGGTGATTTTTTTATCATAACCCACTCAATTACTTGCAGAATAATAATAATTTAAACATTTTTTTTTATTATTATTTTTAGTTACACATTATTCTTGAATTTTTAACTATGTAATACTTTTTAAGTTCATCCCTTATGCCTTGGAAGGGGGTCAACTTTGTTTTTTTAAATGGTAACACATATTTTTAATTTAATAAAATGTTTGAGTTTTTAATTTAATAGTAAATGGCATTTGAATTTTTAATATAACTTAATTCGTTTATTAGATATAATCATTTAAAGTTTCAAATTTTTGAATTAATATACAGGTATAATACACAAGGGATTACAAATACAGGTAGCTAATTGGTTTTTTATAACATCGATATTAGCAGGTACACAGCATTGTTATTATCAATTGTAGTAAGGCACATTGTTATGAGTTTATAAATACACTAACTGACAATACAGAAAGTATATCTATTGATAATAATAATTGATAATAAACAATCCGTGACTGAGACAGCAATGTCATAAAAATCCAATTAGCTACCTGTATTTACAATCCCATGTGTATTATACATGTATATTAACTCAAAATTTTGAAACTTTAAATGTTTATATCTAATAAGCTAATAAAGTTATATTAAAAATTCAAATGCCATTTACTATTAAATTAAAAACTCAAACATTTTATTAAATTAAAAATATGTGTTACCATTTAAAAAAACAAAGTTGACCCCCCTCCAAGGCATAAGGGATGAACTTAAAAAGTATTACATAGTTAAAAATTCAAGAATAATGTGTAACTAAAAATAATAATAAAAAAAAATGTTTAAATTATTATTATTCTGCAAGTAATTGAGTGGGTTATGATAAAAAAATCACCCTGTATATATACACTAACTGGCAAAATAGAAATAATATCTATTGATAGTCATAATTGACAATAAACACTCCGTGACTGTAACAGCAATGCCATAAAAAACTAAAAAATGAAAATTATATATAGTTTAAAAAAACATGCTTTTAAAGCAAATTGAACTAAAAAGTTAAAAATAATTTTTAAAATAAGCTTAAAACAATAATGAACGAAAAATACTAGTATTATTATGAAAAAGAGTGGGGGCTTTGTGCCATATTTTTCGTAAATTGAGCGCCCGATTTTTTAGCTTCGATGCGAAGCTGAAAAGGTATTAATTTTACACTGATGTGTTTTTTTTTAATGTCTGTTGCCACTTTTTCTCAGCTCTCGCTGGACCGATTTCTTTAAACAATACGTCAAAAGATCACAAATCGTATTTAGTTGAAGATATTACTCTTAAAAATTGAAAAATTTTCTCTCGTTCACCCCAAATGGAGGAAATCTCCAAAATAATTACAAATTTAAAAATCGGTAAATTTTGTCATTTTTTTCGCTTTTTTTTCTTAAAACTTCCATAACTTTTTTAAAAATCAACAAATAAACATAATTTTTTTTATATAAAAACCTTAGATATTAAACTTTCATTTAATATCATTTTTTTGAAAATCTAACACTTAACTTGCTCACAAGGAGGAATTTAAAATAGTAACTTTTTTTACAAAAACTAACTTTTTCAGCTTAACTTTTGAAAATGTTCCAGAAATACTGCGTCCTTTAAACATATACTAAATGAAAGCTTATGTCATGTTCTATAGAATGAAAAAAAAAATTGTCCCGACAATTTATCTTCTGAATGAAAACGGCTGCCGTAGTTAAAAAAATGGTACTTTTGTGTTAAAATTATCGATTTTGATTATAAAATTTTCAATTTTAAAATGCTATAACTTTTCGAAAAATGTATATATCAGCACAATTTTTTTTTTCTAAATACACATAAATACATATTTCATTTCACATACTTTTTATTAAAATTGAACAATTTCCCCTTATAAAGAGGGCGTTCAAATCTTGAAATATTGTATAAAAAATTGAACTTTTTGAACTTAACTTTTGAAAATGTTCCGGAAATATTGTGTCCTTTCAATATATATCAAATTAAAGCTTATGTCATGTACTATAAAATTAAAAAGAAAAATTTGTTCCGAAGACCTATCTTCTATGCGCAAATGGCTACCGTATTCAAAAATATGCTTTTTAAAAATGTTAAAATCCTGGGTTTTGTATTTCATTTAATTTTTAAAATAAAATAACTTTCATGAATACCATATAATTTAATTGACATTGAATAAAGTTCATACGACATAAAAAATTAAACTTATTACAATTTTTTTACTTTTTTAAAGTCGAAAAAGTAATTTTTAAATTTGAATTAGCTTAAATTACCAATTTTATCACGCGACGAAAGCAACGAACAGTTGTCGAATCGGTAACACTTGTGTCTTTCACGCTTAGGGTACGAGGTTCCAATCAGCCTGTGGCAATTAATAGCTTGCTTTTTTTTTGAGTTAGAAAAAAAAATTCAAATCATTTGATTTTTATCTCATTTAGATTCAATAACTTTAATAAATTTCAAGAATCCCATCAATATAGAGTCCCCTCTTGAGAAGAAATTTCTTATTCGTGTTAATATTATTTGACTATGTGGTTTTTTTGTGGTTACGATTTCTTTTGCCAACCCTTACTTGACCTACTTTTTTCAATGATACGTCAAATGATTACAATTCGTATTTCGTTTAAGTTATTACTCTTAAAAATCGAAAAAATATCCTTTATTCAAATAAAAAGTAGCTTAACCAGCTTTTTCCATACAAACAATTAAAATCATTAATTTATAATATTTTTAAAGTATTTATTGTCGAATTAGATTGGATATGATAAAAGTATTCAACTACAAGAGTAAATAATTTTACTTTGTAATTTATTAATTTTTTAACTCTATTTGTGTGTGCTACTACCAGTCTATAATATTCCAATTTTTTTTGTAATATGTTGCTATATAAATCATAAATTTAAAAAAAAAAAAATGATTTTTAGTTTCACCTGAATTTAACGATGGATTTTTACAATTATAATCAAATTTTATAATACGCTCAATTAAGTAAATCTTTTAAACGACTACTTTTTTTTTGGTTTTTTTAGATATATAA